TTTCCGTCAACAAGGACTCCCAGAATCGATTGTCTCTGATATAGATCCCGTCTCACGGAAAAAATTTGGTCGACTATCTTCAAGGTGCTAGACACCAAGTTGGATACGTAGACAGCGCGTCGAGGTCATTGGTGATTACACCACGTTTCTCAGCTGACGAAAAGACAGGGAACGGACATGGTGTCCGCAAGGCGCGAGCAGGGCTCGTATTACGCTGCTGGAGCAGCTCGCCTTACACATCATCCCATGCGGAAAAAGAAGTGTCAGACTCATCATCGACTACATCCTCAACAAGACCACTCGGCACTGACAGCGTGCGTGGAGCGCGACTTTTGTGCTCATTGAGCCTAGGATATACATTCCCCGGTGCCGCGGACGCACTGTCCGACATGGCACCGTATGCGGGGACGAAGTTGGGCTCTGCCCGTGCTCGCTGTCACAACCAGAGAGACTTGGTGGTTTTCGTATCGTGGACACAGGGCTTATTGAGCAAGGAAGTTGTTAAACTCCAACAAATTGAGTTGCAGTGTCTAACGGAAACGATTACCTCGTTGAGGCAAAAATTGATTGAAACTGTAAATGTTCTCAATCTCAATGGGGGAGAGTGTAACGGGGTTACGCGAACCCTAACAACAGGTGTGTGTCACACGAGATGTGCATGGTGTGACCGCACACCCAAACAAGGATACGGTACGGGCTAAGTAACCAGTAGTTATGCATGCATTTAGATTCTACTATATATATTAAGTATATTTAGGAAAATCTAAACTTTTAACACTAGGATGAAAATAGATAAAAATCAGTTTGGAATGTCGACCAAAAAGTCGACTAGCCTTGGGAAGGCAAAAATCACTCTTAGAGAGAGTAAGCGGATTGCGATCCGCTAACTCGTACTTGGTTCTTGTAAAGAACGGAAGGTCTGATACCTAAAGTACGCTTCCTCAAGCGTTTTACTACGGTAGCCCCACTGCAATTCCGCTCTAACATTCAAGACTACAAGACCCAAACGTGATCACGCATTCATGTCGATCAGCAGCTGCTTGGAGTGAAGCAAAGTCTTTAAATTTACAGCA